CATCTCAATATGCCACGAAGATCTGCCATCCAAAACACACTAATAACAACAGCAAAACAATTAAAAAAAAAAAAAGTTTTCATAAATACAAAAACGTATTCGGTAAACAAACCCAGCCTAGGACATGCGCATTATCACAAACAAAAAAAAAAACAAAACAAAAACAAAAACAGACACACACGCAAGCACAAGCAGACCGAATGCAGACAAATCACAAAAAATGACCTCCTTATACCCCTCCCCCCTCCCCCTCCCCCTCCCCCCACCATGCCACCATGTAAACCCAAATTGCAACAAAACACAACACGACACGAGTTTCCATTTCTTTTTTTTTTTTAATAAATATTTAATAAATTTTCCTTGTCGTGTTCCTATTTTCTTTTTTTTTATAAATAATTTTCCTTGTCGTGTTCCTATTGGGAGATTTATGACAGGCACCACTTGCCTCCTCGGGGACAAGGGCGATAAATGAAGTCTGATGCACGCGGGGATGAAACGAGAAGAGGAAAATAATAACAATAATAATAACAATAATAATAATATAATAAATAATAATAATAATAATAATAATAATAATAACGATAACAATAACAATAATAACAACGATGATGATGATGAATGATTATGATGATACAATAATGATGATGATAATAATAAATAATAATAAAAATAAAAATATAATAACATAACAACAACAACAATGATAATAATAATGATAAAGATAAAGATGTTAATAATGATGATAATAACAATAATAATAATAATATAATAATAACAATAACAACCATACAAATAAAAATAAGTAACAACAACAATAACAATGACAACAAAAAGACCAGAAGGAAGAACATAAAACGGACGAAGAAAACGCCAACAGAAAACGAGATTATCAGCAACAACAACAACAAAAAACAAAAACAAAAAACCCCGAGATAAATCAAGTCGGCGAGCAACAACAAGTCATATAATTCCCCAACAACTCCATCACACGAGGCGAGTGAATAACTGCGGAGGACAATGATGAGTTATTAGGCAAGAGGCATCGACTTTTACAACGCGTACAAACACGCGGCAGGGGGGGGGGGGGGGGGGGGGGGGGGCATGAAAAGAATATACAAAAAAAAAATAATAATAATAAAAAAAGGGAAGTAAACTTTGACGCCACAGGCCATCAACTTCTGCAGACGTTCATTATGGTTGACGAATTATACAACATACACGCAAACAGATACAACGCAAACACAAACAAACGCGCACGCACGTACGCACACACGCACGCACGGATGCAAATTCTAAGTTACCCTATATTCTAAGTTACCTTATATCAGGGTCTATGTTCGCTGTTTTCATTTTTTTTTTCTTTCTCTACCTTTCTCTCTTTTTTTTTCCTCCTTCGCTGTCTTCCTTTCTTTCTTTCTCCCTCACTCTCTTTTTTCCTTCGCTCATTTTTCTTTCTCTACCTTTCTCTCTTTTTTCCTCCTTCGCTGTTTTCATTTTTTCTTTCTCTACTTCTCTCTTTTTTTTTCCTTCGCTGTTTCATTTTTTTTCTCTACCTCTCTCTCTTTTTTTCCTCCTTCGCTGTTTTCATTTTTCTTTCTCTACCTTTCTCTCTTTTTTTTCCTCCTTTCGCTGTTTTCATTTTTTCTTTCTCTACCTTTCTCTTTTTTCTTCCTTCGCTGTTTTCATTTTTTCTTTCTCTACCTCTCTCTCTTTTTTCCTCCTTCGCTGTTTTCATTTTTTCTTTCTCTACCTTTCTCTCTTTTTCCTCCTTCGCTGTCTTTAATTTTTTTCTTTCTCTACCTCTCTCTCTTTTTTCCTCCTTCGCTGTTTTCATTTTTTCTTTCTCTACCTTTCTCTCTTTTTTTCCTCCTTCTTTGTTTTCATTTTTTCTTTCTCTACAGTTCTCTCTTTTTTCCTCATTCGCTGTCTTCCTTCCTTTCTTTCTCTCTCTCTACCTTCCTCTCCTTTTCCCCCTATCTCCCCATCCCTCCCCTTATCTCTCTCTCTCCCCTTTCGCAACCTCTTTCTCAGCCAGCTAAGCTCCTGCGCCCAAGATGGTAGCCATTAAGAGCGGGATCGAGGCGGCGACGGGGCGACAGATCGAGAATTGCCCGGAGGACGTACGCAGTTTACACGCAGAGACGCCGCTGCAAAAACAACAACAACTCCCGCGCCCTCAAAGTACTCTACCACACTCGCCACGGCACGCTCAAGGGGGCCCTGCGTCACGCTGGAGACTACTCATCACCCGAGGGCCACGGCGGCTACTGCGTCACGCTGGAGACTACTACTCACCCGCGGGCCACGGTGGCTCCTGCACCCACTGAGTACGCTGTGTCCTGCGCTGTGCCGTCCGCTGTGCCCTTTAAATGGGCTAAAACGCTGAAGGAGTCGCGACCTGATTCAAGCGTGGTGTCACGGCTCACGATTCATACGGACTGCGACAACAAAAGACCTTGATAGTACGACACTACTGTGGATAGCGATGGTAGCGGCAAAATCGCAGTAGAGAAGGCAACGCACAACCATACACACAATGCTACCATTACCATCAACA